GTGGCTCTAGTGGCTTTATAAGGAGCACAAGTGAGCACATAAAATAGCTCTGTGTCACCATGGGACCCTGTAAAGAGTTCCCACCCAGAAGAAGGCTCTCACCAGATGTACCCCCTTGGACTGTGGAATTCCCAGTTCCCAAACTGTAATAAATAAATTTTGTTTCTTTATAAATTACCCAGTTTCAGGTATTCTATTATCAGCAACAGAAAACTGACTAATTCACAAGGATCTTCAAAAACTTCACGGAAAGATTTATATCATCTTTTAATTCTATTTTTCCACAAATTTTTGAAATACCCTCATTCATGTGTACTTTTCCCAGCCGTATGGCTCAACCTTGAAACTGAACTTAGTACTTTGTATCTTTTATGCCTCCTATGATGAAATGTGTAACACTGAACATGTAGTAATGAACATATATTAAGTGATGAGTGCATGAAATCCTGCCTCGAACTATTTATAAGCATTCAGAATGTTGGGTAGAATGTTCTGTAAATGTCTGTGAGGACTAGTTGCATTATAGTGCTGTCTAAGTCCTCTGTTTCCCTACTGATCTTCTGCGTAGTTGTTCTGTTCATTTTGAAAGTGAGGTATTGATGTCTCCAACTATTATTGGGCCTGTTTCTCTCTTCAATCTGTTGGTGTTTGCTTTATGGATTTTTGGGCTCTGTTTTTAGGTGCACATATATTTATAAATGGTGTATTATCTTGATGGATTGACTTTTGTCTTTATAAAATGTTCTTCTTTGTCTCTAGTAATAAATTCTGTCTATTTTATCTGATATTACTATAGTCACTCCAGCTCTCTTTTGGGTACTCTTTGCATATCATGTCTTTTTCCATTCTTTTACTTTCACCTTATTTACATATTTGAGTTTAAAGTTTCTCTTATATGTAGTATTTAGTTGGATCATTTGTGTGTGTGTGTGTGTGTGTTATCCACTCTGCCAACCTTTACCTTTTGACTGGTGTACTTATTACATTTGCCTTTAATGTCATTAACAAGGTAGGATTGTTGTTAACAGTTTTGCTAATAGCTTTCAGTATATCTTACATCTTTTTTGTTGCTGTATTCCTCCATTATTGTTATGTGTAGAAAATTATTTCAAAATTTTGGGTGTATGAAAGAGAAGAGAAATGAACTATTACCTACAGGAGGATGTAGGTTCAATATCAAAAGAGGAAATACTAGGTAGATTTGTTTGATTTAAAAGAGCTTTAAATTCATAGGAGATGACAGAGAGATATTGCAAAGGAGGAAGAGCTCTAAAGGGAATGCTTGAGCTGAATCATGTAAAATGAGTAAAGTCACCATTGAGTGAAAAGGATATTCTGGCTGATGTAGAGTGTGAGTAAAGGCATGGGGATTAAGGTAGATTTATTGGTTCATGGAACTTTAACTAGTTCAGTGTAGGTCAGAGTGAAAGTGTCCAGGAGGAG